AATGAATTTGTCAGCAGTCTCTGTTTAGTCATTGCCTCCTATCAAGAATTGTTCATCAACCGTCCACAGGAAGGCGAATTAGCTTCAAAGAACATCCCAGAGATGGCTAATGGCAAGCTACATGTGTTTGTGGACACCCTGGCTGCTAGATACTTCTCTCTAGTGGAGCAGAGGATACAGGAGGAGAAAGGAGTGGGTGATAACTCTCTGTTAGTGAGAGCCCTGGATCGCTTCCATCGCAGATTACAGGCCATAACCAAACTACTTCCGGGGTCGGCAGTGCCTAGCCACGGAACTGAGATTGTGGTGCGGGCGGCAAGAGAGAGAATCAAACAGTACCTGTCCGCCTTACAAACCTTCTACCATGACAGCCTTACTGATGTAAGACAGGCCTTGGCTGCACCTCGTCTAGCAGTGGGAGGGGCCAGTACATCAGGAGGCGGGGTTACAAGTAAAGATGCCACACCTAGTCTGCCAGAACTGCTGACGTCCTTATCAAACTTTATTCTGAATCAGTTAAAGTCTGTATTAGCATCAGTGCATCTCTTCACAGCAAAGGACATTACATTCTCCAACAAGCCTTATTTCAAGGTACAGAATAAAGTGTATATATGTAAGTTTTATATAAGTACCAAGTATAGGACCTTTTAGTATAGGACCTTTTATTTACAGTAACTCTGGTATTCCTCACTTAGGGGTCACACTTGTGATCCTCAGCATTAAAACAGACCAAAGACAATAATTGTAACATTTTTTATTAATGAAATGAATGTACTATATTTTGTTTCAATAATATATTTTTTAATATTTAGTATTTTTGTATTAAGGGGGATTTCATGATACTAGAGAATTTTCATCTATAAATTATGCACCATTTATTTGATTGTAATTTAATTGAAAACAATTTCAAAATTAGAAGAAAATTTTCAATTAATACAGTGTTTAAGTTAAAAATGAAGCAAAGGCATTTAAAAATCCAATGCATGGAAGGCAAGTTGGTGCCATCTGGTGGGAGAAATAAAGAAAATAAGATGTGTATTATGGTATATAGTCACTTGATGCTTGTATAGCCCTTTATATACATATAAAACATTTGTAGAGAAAGAGCGTGGTGTATTACCTAGAGTATTTTCAGACTTAACTACTATTACATTTTATATTTGGATATATATTTAGACATTATCAAAGACTACTTTATTGTGGCTGATTTGTAGATCGTACCACCAAAAATTGCTCTGTATTTTCATATTTTCTGTATTGTCCTATTCATTTACTATGGTGATGTTACCTTTTTTTTTGGTACCATTTTTCTAATAATGTCCATGTTTTGTTTTTTTTGGTGTTCACAAACGTCACCAAGTTTTATACCATTGTAATGAAATGGAAAAAAAAAATTATATTCAAAACAAAAGAAATTTTTCAGTCTAAAGTGACCGAATATGTTCCCATGTTTTGTCGTTTTTCTAATACCTGTCTCGTATTTTTCTCTCAGGGTGAGTTTTGCAGTCAAGGTGTGCGTGAGGGCCTGGTGGTGAGCTTTATTAAGTTCATTTGCCAATCATCTCGTCAGTACTGTGAGAGTGCGGGTGACCGAGGAGGATCCACCCCTCCTGCTCTGCTTCTGTTGCTCTCTCGTCTCTGTCTGGACTATGAGACCTCCACCATCTCCTACATCCTCACGCTCACAGATGAACAGTTTCTTGTACAGGTATTCCATATCCATTATATTTGTTAAAAACAAACTCTAAATACATTATTCATACTGACCTTTCCTCTCTAAACAGCACCACACTCCAGTCACTCCAGTTACAGCACTTTGTGCAGAGGCCAGAGAAGCTGCTCAGAAATTACTGAACCACTATGTGAAGGTAACTAAGAGAAAAGATTCAGCTATTCATAGTCTTGTATTTTGGGATAGGATTGCTGTTGGACAACATTTTTTTTATTTTTTTTATGCAGGTTCAGGGATTAATCATCAGTCAGATGTTGAGGAAAAGCGTGGAAACCAGAGACTGGGTGAACACCATTGAACCTAGAAATGTCCGGGCTGTAATGAAGAGGGTGGTGGAAGATACCACCTCTATTGATGTACAGGTGATGCACCGAACATTTGTTCATATTTCATATACAAAAAAGATTCAAGATATGTAACAGACCATTTGAATCCATGCAAAAAAAGATACATATAAATTCTTAGCCATTTGTATAAGGCAGTTGTAATGTTTTGTGCCTCCATGTGTATTAACTAGGTGGGACTGCTTTATGAGGAAGGAGTAAGGAAAGCCCACAGCAGTGACTCCAGCAAACGCACCTTCTCAGTGTACAGCAGCTCAAGGCAGCAGATCCGCTACGCACCAAGCTACACTCCCAGGTGCACAATCACTTCACAAATTTTACTGACTTTAAATGAGAATTTCTTATGATGTGCACTGGAAAATGTGACCTGCGCCAACCATTTTCCCCAAATTTATAATGAGAATAACAAAAGACAAGTTTTAGGGCCTCCCTGCATTTTTCAGGCTAAGTATAATATATAAAATATAGTTGTACTGTTGAAAACATATAATTAATAATGAATATACTTATTATATGTATATATTATTATTATTATTATTATTAATAAATATTTTTTACAGTTTATTGTTGCAATAATAATATAATTCTTTATTGATTTAATTATACAAAATAATATTTTGATTATTATTTGTTATTATCATTATTATTACTATTATATAGTCATTTTTTCCTTTTTGTTTTCTTTAGCTGATCACATTCCTGAGTTCTGTAAAGGTATAATGGATATACATAGTCACACAGAGGATACTGTTTATAATTGTTTATATGTTTTTGTTCCAGTGCTCCAATGGACACAAACTTGCTCAGTAACATTCACAAGCTATTTTCTGAGAGGATTGATATCTTTAGCCCAGTGGAGTTCAACAAGGTAGAAAACTAAACGCTGTTAGCTAACTGTTGTTACTGTCATTTAACTAACTGACCGATGCAGATTTTAATATTTACGTTTTTTCAGACTGTATGACCAGTTTTCTATCTTATCCTAGGTCTCTGTGCTAACTGGCATCATTAAGATAAGTCTGAAGACATTCCTTGAATGTGTACGTCTCCGTACGTTTGGCAGATATGGACTGCAGCAAATCCAGGTGGACTGCCACTATTTGCAGATGTACCTGTGGCGGTTTGTGTCTGATGAGAACCTAGTGCACTTCCTTTTGGATGAGATTGTGGGTAGTGCTGCCCATCGTTGCCTGGACCCGTCTCCAATGGAGCAAAGTGTCATTGAGGTCATCTGTGAGAGGGGTTAGCGTGGGTGTTTTTTCCTTAAACAGGCAAACAAGTTTGCAAATAACTGAAACTGAACTCAGCTGGTGGGCATTACTAATACTTATATTTGCAGTTATATTTCATATAACTGATGGAGTATTAATTTCAGTGAAGTAAAATTAATATAAAGCCAGTGACCTCAGATTGAACCCTGTTATAGCTGGATTGAGATCACAAAACGTTTTTTTTTTACCTTCATTTGATTAAAGGCTAGGAATAGGATTGTGTGGACGTTGGGTGCTAAAAGCTGAAATATTGTTGTCTCGTGTCAAAGTCCTAAAATGAACACAACATACTATGAACGTAAACGATAACTCTAATCACTGTATATTTAAGGTAAGATGATCTGTCTATAAAAACAAATCAGCATGTTTGATAATTGTCTTTTATGGTTGATTTCTGTATTCATTGACTGTGAAGGTTGTTCAATCTGCATAACTGGATAGTATATATTTAATAAACGTAATGTACAAAAAAAAATGCGTCCAAGTTTCTTGGGAGGAAAAAACGTAACCTTACCTCTGTAGTTACTGAATGCACTGTAATATGAAGCCAGAACAGACGCTCTTGTCATTGGTCAGGAAAACATTAGGGGCGGTTTCGGCCGCTCGTCTCTGATTCTGATTGGTTCACTGGTTTTCTCTCCCCACTCTTGTGATAGCAGCGGTACGCGTTGATTGGTCAGATACAGCAAAGACAGAACAAGCTTGTTCTGAGCGCAGGCGTCACCTCCTCTCAGGCATTAACAGTGATGATGAGCGGTTTCCATACAATATAACAGTAGGTTTGTGGGAAACAGAGGTAAGAGAAAAATACCCTCTATGTATACATTAATAGGTTACTAAAGGGTTATTTGGTTGATTAGATTAAGTCTGAAAATAATCATGACGTTACAAACGCGTATACTACACAGCTACTGTATTTAACAAACGCACTGTAATTTAAATGATACATTATTCTTGTATACTATAAATGTTTTGTCAGCCATGCTAAATGCTCATCTTTGTCCCAAACAGGCAAAATGAAGCCTAACAAGCACAAAGCAACACATTCAGCTGAAAAGGAATTTGGAGGTGCTCTTGGTGAGCTAATATTTGTTGCATGTATGCATATGTTTGTGTATGTGTAATGATATGTGGCTACTGGCTACTGTGCCAAATTGGAGTTCATTTGTCCACCTCACCTGTCCAGGTGCCACCTGCATCCCTGTGTTCCTGCCTCTGACGGTTCTGTACCTGCTGAGTGTGTGTCGGTCTCCAGCAGCCAGTGTCCTGCAGTGGCCTCCTCATTTACCCCCCGCAGCACAGTTATGGGACCCTTTGGCCGCGGTTCTGGTTGTAGGTTGGATCACCTTGCAGAGTTTTCTCTATCTACTGCCCATAGGGAAGGTGAGATAGTGTATCATTTGTTTCTTTGAAAGACAAATTAGGTTATTTTCTTAAGAGAGTATGTCAGAAATTAAACTCTTCATTTGTTAACAGGTTTCTGAAGGATATATCCTATTAATGGTAATATATGCTGTCTGCCTGTTTGTAATGTTATACAAATAATGCTAATAATACATTTTTAATGCCTTTGTGTGTTTGACATAAATTAAACAGGATAGTTTTTGTTCACACAAATTAAATGCGATAGTCTTTGACGTTGTTATTGAATGCACTGTAATATGGAGCCAGAACAGACGCTTTCGCCATTGGTCAGGAAGGCATCGGGGGCGGTTTCATCCGCTCGTCTTTGATTCTGATTGGTTCCCTGGTTGTCTCTCCCCACGCTTCTGATAGCAGCGGTACGCGCTGATTGGTCAGATGGCGCAAAGGCAAACAGCGTGTTCTGATCGCAGGCTTCACTTACTCAGACATCTACAGTGATGATGATGAGCGGTTTCCATACAATATAACAGTAAGTTTGTGGGAAACAGAGGTAAGAGAAAAATACGCTATATATATTTTATGTATATATTAATGTTACTACAGGGTTATTTGGTTGATTCGATGAAGTCTGAAAATAATCATGACGTAAACTACTGCATTTAACAAACGCACTGACATTTAAATAATACACTATTCTTGTATACTATATTTGTTTTGCCAAACATGCTAAGGCCTCATCTTTGTCTCAAACAGGCAAAATGAAGCCTAACAAGCACAAAGCAACACATTCAGCTGAAAAGGAATTTGGAGGTGCTCTTGGTGAGCTAATATTTGTTGCATGTATGCATATGTTTGTGTATGTGTAATGATATGTGGCTACTGGCTACTGTGCCAAATTGGAGTTCATTTGTCCACCTCACCTGTCCAGGTGCCACCTGCATCCCTGTGTTCCTGCCTCTGACGGTTCTGTACCTGCTGAGTGTGTGTCGGTCTCCAGCAGCCAGTGTCCTGCAGTGGCCTCCTCATTTACCCCCCGCAGCACAGTTATGGGACCCTTTGGCCGCGGTTCTGGTTGTAGGTTGGATCACCTTGCAGAGTTTTCTCTATCTACTGCCCATAGGGAAGGTGAGATAGTGTATCATTTGTTTCTTTGAAAGACAAATTAGGTTATTTTCTTAAGAGAGTATGTCAGAAATTAAACTCTTCATTTGTTAACAGGTTTCTGAAGGATATATCCTATTAATGGTAATATATGCTGTCTGCCTGTTTGTAATGTTATACAAATAATGCTAATAATAATTTTTTAATGCCTTTGTGTGTTTGACATAAATTAAACAGGATAGTTTTTGTTCACACAAATTAAATGCGATAGTCTTTGACATCTTGTCCTTGGTTTTACCACCTATTACATACAAAGTAGAGTTCAAATTCCATTTGTCAGTAAACTCTAGTTTCCCCTTATACCTGGACTGTGCTTCAGTTCATTTAAGTTATATAGCAGTTTCATAATTCAAGACTGTGCAGTCTTACAAAAAAATGTAAAGATTAATTTAACAAAAACAAAAAAATTAATTATATATATATATATATATATATATATATATACACACACACACACTGTATATATATATTATACAGTTCTAAAGAAAAATAAGAAGCTTTATTGCTTAATTAAAAAAAAATTTAATTTAATTTAAAAAATGTTTTTAACGTTTTTGAAGAAAGTCTCTTTACTTTCACTAAGGCTGCATTTTGTTTAAAAATACAGTAAAAACAGTGATATTGTGAAATCTTATTACAATTTAAAATAACTGTTTTCTATTTTAATACATTTTAAAATGTAATTTATTCCTGTGATGGCAAAGAAAAAAAACCTTACTGACACTAAACCTTTCTAAACCTTTTGAAAGGTAGTGTACTATATATGTATATGTTTATATTTGTAGATATGATTGTGACCAGAATTTTACATCTTTATTTCTTAGGTTTCCATGCCCTGAGCATTACTGCTGTCCTGTTGATAGTATGTCTTTGGCTGGGAATGCCACTCGGGTATCTGTTTGAGCTGATTTTGCCTCTGGCTGTATGTGCCATTGGTGTGTCCTACCTGCTGTCTATGTACCTGTATATCCGCTCTTTCTGGGCACCTCAACATGCTTTATCACTTGGAGGAAACACAGGTGAGATTATCAGTCCTGGTATTTACAAATTAGTGTGATTTTCTGATATTATCTTTTGTCTATGAGTAACATTTCATTATTCATACAGACACGCTACCTTTTTGACCTGTCAGATATTCCAGATGCTTCTACTTTCTGTCTCTTTGAATTATTTGCCAATGCAGTTACATTGTCATTTGTAGGAAATCCTCTGTATGACTTCTTCATGGGTCGAGAGCTCAACCCTCGCATTGGAGACTTTGACTTGAAATATTTCTGTGAACTAAGACCTGGATTAATAGGCTGGGTAAGAGTCTCACAATATGTTTACATCCACATGTAAATATATGTATAGAAATATATCTGCTATTGTTCAAATATTTGTATTGGTAATATTTTTCAAGTTTTTGAAAGAAGTGCCTCATGCTCAGAGGCTGAATTTATTTGATCAAAAAATAGTGTAAACAGTAATATTGTTAAATATTATTACAATTGAAAATAACCGTTTTCTATTTGAATATATTTTAAAATGTAATTTGTTCCTGTGATAGAAAGCTGAATTTTCAGCAGTCAGTCTTCAGTGTCACATGATCCTTCAGAAATCATTCTTTCAATTTGCTGATTCAAAGAACAGCATTTATTTGAAACACCAAAGTATTTTTTACCAACTTTCTCTCTTTTATGTTGTTGTTTTTCAGGTGGTAATAAACCTGGGGATGTTAATGAAAGAAGTGGAGTTGAGGGGCTCTCCATCTCTTGCCATGCAGCTTGTCAACGGCTTCCAGCTCCTCTATGTGACAGATGCTCTGTGGAATGAAGTATGAGAAATCTAGTCTAGTCTGAAAATATATACATACATATATTTATATACACTGAGTCCCAAATACACACAACATTATACTTTTCTATGTGTCTGCAGGAGGCTGTGCTTACTACTATGGACATTGTGCATGATGGATTTGGGTTCATGCTGGCATTTGGCGACCTGGCCTGGGTTCCCTTCACGTATGGTCTTCAGGCCATGTTTCTGGTTGTGCACCCACAGTCACTTAGTACTCTTGGAGCAGCGGGGATTATTCTTCTAAATGGTAATCTACAGCCTGTTTTGCAGCAGTCTGAATGTTTAACGTTTTCTAACTCTCCTCTTTTTAATCTTTCGCAGGAATTGGTTATTACATTTTCCGGAAGTCTAACTCTCAGAAAAATCAGTTCAGAAGAGACCCCACACATAAAAGTGTAGCACGTTAGTAATCACAGTGCTTTTGATATGCTACCTACTTTGAGTTTGTATTCAGTGAACATTGTTTTTGAACACTTTATACATTATCAGTATCTAAAATGAAGAAAAGGGAGAATTTCTTACTGGAGACTAAATTATGGCTTCCAGATTAACATAAATGGTGAATTTTCTCATCTTTCTTTTTGACTTGTAGACCTGGAAACTATCGCCACAGCAACAGGAAAGTGTCTGTTGGTATCAGGGTGGTGGGGGTTTGTCAGGCATCCAAATTACCTGGGGGACCTTCTCATGGCTCTGGCGTGGTCCCTGCCTTGTGGTAAGTGAATTGATTTAACTGATTGTAAGGAAAAACACATGACATTGACAATATCAATGTCAACTTATAACGTCTTAGTTAGTTGTATAAAATGCAGGAAGGGCATCCGGCGTAAAAACATGTGCCAAATCGTTTGTGCGGATCACTCCGCTGTGGCGACCCCTGATAAAAAAAAAAGGGAGCAAGCCGAAGGAAGAGAGAGAGAGTTAGTTGTATAAAATCAATATCACATTTGCACTATTTGCACTGGTATTCAGGAAAAACAACACTATTGGTCATGTGATATTGCTTAACCATTTCATATGTTCTAAATATAAAAACAAGAACTCATACAAGGCCATCTTTACCCCCATATCTTAAAATGGAAATTAAATGTGTGAAGATTTTTCAAAAGTTGGGACTGGGAATTAATGGGGTAAAAAGACCCATTCTAATATGTAACATTAGAAAGATTCAGTAAGTGAATATAATTATAAATTGTTAATGGTTGGGGCATTCAGTTGAAATCAGTTCATTGTTGATTCAGTTCAGTTCAATAACTGTGTAAAGTCCATCAATTATGGAATCAGCTTAATTAATCTATAAAGCAGCTCTGGAGAAAACAGTGATATCATCAGCTCAGTTCAGTTCTCATCCAATATTGTCTGTGCAGTCAAGTAATATTGCCAAATATTAAGTGTCCCCAACTAAGCAAGCCAAAAGGCGACAGTGGCAAGGAACCCAAACTCCAACGGTGACAAAAATGGAGAAAAAAATAAAACCTTGGGAGAAACCAGGCTTATTTGGGGGGCCAGTTCTCCTCTTGCCAGATGGACCGACATAGTGTGGCTTAATTCCTGGCTGTATTCCATATCAGAAATGTGGATTGATTTCATTCAGTATAGGGATATAAGAGGTTTAAGATTTTTGTTTTCTTTCCACCAGGGATAAGGCTATTTTTTGTGCTTTGCTGGGGTTCTATTTCCTTTTTTTCTCTGCACCATGGGAGAAAGCAGCCTTCAGTAGTCAGTTGCTGACAATATAGCCATTCATTAATGAAATAGCTATAATTGCATAATTAATCCAGGAATATGAAACAAATTCATAACCCATGCTCCGGTTGTTGTTCATCATAACCTTTGCGCTGGTCACATACCCAAATGCTGAAAACAGGGAGCACAGCTCCTCACTGCCCAAGCTGTATGGCAGGTTTGATATATAAAGACTGTAGTCTTTCTTTTTTCAACTTTTGTTTGGAACTGCCATTTCAGTGGCTTGTAATGGCATATAGAAACTAGGTCATTTAGTGCCATACCATCTGGCTTCTTAATTGCCAATTGTCACGTGAATAAGCAAATTCACAAAGAAATAATAATAAAAATCATATAATGCTAATCAAATTGTTCTAATTTGGTAAAGTATTTAGATATGTTTAAGTGTCATCTAAAATTTAAGTAAAAATAATGCTTTTTAAGATTATTTTTACTTAAAAAGAATTAAGAAATTTTATATTTTCTGTAAGAAACTGGTGTTTGCCATTGTATTTTTAACTATCTGGGTCTTGCCATGAATATGAAAATTGCAGTATAATTGAATAATTTGTTTATTCCAACTTTTTTTTCTTAGGAATGTCACATATTCTGCCTTACTTCTATGTCATATATTTCACCATTCTGCTCATCCACCGAGAGGCCAGAGATGAGAAACACTGCAGAGCCAAATACGGACTGGCCTGGGATACATACTGCAGACGAGTGCCCTACAGAATACTCCCGTACATTTATTAATGCAGACTGATATGTTCTGAACGACCAACAGATTGTTGTGTGAGCAACCAGTGGATATGTCATCATCAGTGCAGAGAACTGGACACTACAAAATTTACTGCATATATTGTTTTTATTTGAATCATAACATTGCTTTACATTCATTTAAATGTTTTTAAAATATGAAAAATATATTCTGTTATATTATTAAAAACATTTTCATTATCATGTGTTCAATGCAATCTACAAGTGTGGACTGTAGCATTAAAGACATTTAAAGGCTAAACAACCACCGATAGTAAAAGTAACACAAAAATGACCTGTTAATTATCCACTAAACTACTTGTATTTAATTCTTAAATAAAAAAACAAAAACTGACACAAATGCCCATAATACAAATTATTTTATTTTAAATTATTACTTTTTATTTACAAATATATACAATACAATCTCACTCAATCTCTTCTATCAAGCCACCTTTACCTCTACTATTTTCCCGTCCCTTTTCCAAACATTTCTTCTCTCCCTCTAATGTCATCCTCTCCATCTCCCTTCTCTCATAGTCCGTCCACACACATCCTGCCAGACTCCTCAAAACTTTGGGATTCTCCTTCACCCAAGACTGAAAAAACTCACACTTCTTTCCAGCTTGAAAATACATCCGCCTCATCTGCTCTTCTTCTTTTGGAACAGAAGCCTTTGCCTTGCTCAAAGCTGTGCGCAGCTGGGACAAAGCAGACAGTGAATATCCAACAGCACCCTCTCTGCTTTCTCCAGTCAGAATATGAGCCACTGCTTCCACAGCTCGAAGTGGAGCTAAAGGGTCCTCGCGATCAAAGTATCCCCCTGCAGATACAGCTCTTATTCCGGCGTCGAGAGCCTCAGAGACAGAGTTGAAGACCCGTCTGGCACCCAAACCATCTGAGATGGCAAGCACCACCTGACAGAACTCCAGCAACATCTCTGAGATGTCTCCATTATAGAGACACAGCGAGAAGGTGTATCCATAAAGAGCATTGATCAGGTTGTACCGCACTAGAGGAGATGGGTTTGAAGATAGTGTGTGAAGAGGAGCAATTTTGGCGCTTATTGGAGGGATTGGGCTTCTCTGTGATTGGTCCGATTTTACTTTATTGCTACTGACTTTCTTAATTTTTCTGTCTTTTTTAACATTCACATTATGCATTTTTTCATCATTCTCAGACTGAAGTTCCTCGATTAGTGCTTTAGTATCTTTCTCATGCCGTTCCCACCAGGGGCTCCACAGGACAACCAGCCCACCGATGCTACCTTCTTTCACCAGTCTCTCAAATTTCTCCTTTTCCTGGGCTGACAACAACGACCAGAGTTCTTCCTCTGAAATAGAGTCAATATCCAGGCCTGCTAACTTTTCAGCTAAATCAGCTTCCTCTTCATCACTCCCATCTTCAATATCTCTGAGTTTTGCTAGTAGTTCTTGCACCTCATGACTTTTTTCATCCCCACTAGATTGAATCTCTGCTAACTGAGAAAGCAGCTCCAAAGCATGTGCGTCTTTTTCGGTCACACTAGTTTCATCATCTCCCAAGTTCCTTAATAAATTCTCCATCCCTCCCTCGCTCTCTGCACTCTGTCTGAGCCGGAGCAGAATTTCCTGCATCTTGCTTTTCCCCTCCTCATCTGTGACACCTTGGGATTTCAGCTCCTGCAGCACAGACTCTTTGTAAAACTCCTCTGAGCATGAAGAGTGATTCTGACTCTTGTAACAAGCCAGGCCGCAATATGGGATGTTACACCTTGGGCAAGTGTAACAGGAAGGGTTGGATAAGCAAAGCCCACATGGCTTGATTGATGATGCAGTAGTTCCACCCTCTGTCCCATTTGCAGGTGTCAGGAGAGTTTCATTAGTCCCTCTTTGGGGAAGTGCAATCCCATCTTTGGTGGTAATTGATTCAGAGTCTATTTCAGGCCAGTCGCTTAAGTGTTCTTCCTCCTTTGCTGCACTATCAGTGAGTAATAAACGAACACACGCAGGGATTTTACGTCTAACAACAGGATCCATGAGCAGCTAATTAACGAAGGTAGACTGCATTAATAGAAAAGTTCAGATCTGCAATTAAAAAGAAAAAAAGGTATTAAAGTCTAATGTTAATAAAAGTCTAAATATTCACAAAAGCATAACAGATTTTTAATAAATTATTACCTGACCAAGAATGTGTGTATGCGCACTTCGTTTCCGCGCACGTACAAATGTATTAAAAATAGCGGATATTTTCTTCAGCTCGTGTTTTTAAGTACGCTTTCATACTGAAGCGTCACGTTAGAATAACGTTGGTCGTCGCAACATGATGACGCATTCGTGCCCTTGCTCTTTAAGCGTCAAAACTGCGCAATATTTGCGCATGATAGATAGATTGATCTAATTTGTTACACTGTTTATTTAATTTTAAATTTTCTTCTATTATTTTGATCTTTTCATTATGATGTTTCTTCACATATATTCCACTTTTTGTAGCAGTTGTTCTTTTTTTTTACTGTTTTATTACTGTATGCATAATTGTGTGATGTTTGCATTTGAACAAAAGTGCATGCATAATTAGATGCACAGATTTATATTAGGCCTTTTTTCAGACACAAGTATTGCAAATAGGATTTAGTGAACACCTTACATGTATTTGTCTCAATCCTAAACAACTGGGACAACATGGAAACATGTTGGATATAATCATAAACTCTTTAATACAATAACCAAACACAGGTATTGAAAATGGTACACTTATGATAATTTACAGTTTGTCCACTTTAAGGAGGAGAGAACATTCTTATACATTTCCTCTCAGCCTTTGTATTGCAGTTCAGTTCATTAGCTGTGCCCACATCAGAATTTAAAAGCCCTTCTTCAGTAGCCAGTCCTTCAGCTCTTTATCAAACTGCCCTTTAATTCTGATGGTCCCAGTTACTTCATTGACCTGTGTTGGAGGTTCTTTGCCCGTAAGCCCCAGCAGGAATTCCTTAACATCCTTATTCAGGGCCTGGAAATAATAATTGACAAAAAGTTAATAAAATAATTAGTTTTTAAAGAATTAAAATAACTAATATATTACACTGTGCTTCTAAACAGGTCTGTTCATTACACTAACCCATATGTCTCCCTCAACCTTTCTGAGCAGAGTGCTGTGCTGATTCCCATGCTTGATGTCCGAATACACAGGCACATTGTGCATTCGGGAGCGACGGATCATGTAAGGCAGTGAAGGTGGCGTAACTATATAATTAATAACAAAAACAGAACTCCACGAATGAGAATCTCACATAATGCTTTCCCGACTTCACAGATTAAACATCAAGCAAAACATCCATCCCTTATAGCTAAGACACCAATAGTATGATACACATTATTCCATGTAAGGTAAAAATACAAGTGTGTTCACCTGACGCTGGGATCCATCCTGACGGTACAGGACCATCATGTTTAGGTGGAGTTGGGATGCGTGAAGGAGGAATAAGTCTCTCCACAAACCTGAACTCCTCTGTGGATTCAATGAAGCCCCATGATCCTTCAGCAGGGTTGCTTTCTGTCTAAAATGAAACAAAACCGTCTTGTGAAAACAAGAAGGACTGTTTGTTGCTCGTAACATTTCAAGAACAAATCATTCTATGCAAATCTATACTGTGACAGCTGATGCACCACTGATTTTAATACTACCTGGATAAATTATACAGTAAAACGGATTGTAATACTAACTCTTAAGCAAGCCCCAGTACTCAATGAACGTGTGACTGAATAAGAAGCCCTGTAAGCAACTCTCGCAGCTCGGCAGACTGTCAGAGACATGCTTCTGATGGAGGCGGCCATTTCGGCAGACAGGAAGGACAGCGGAACATGACGTCATGGGTTTGAATGAAAAAACTTTATGGACAACACAAAGAAAAATGCAGAATAATAAATTATTGAAATAATAATTTCAGAATAAAATTCTACATTTATAAAATGTTGTATTCACTTCTATGTATCAAGAAATTTATACGTAATATTACAATACAAAAAATGCTGTCATGGGGACTTTTATATGGCTTTAATAAAATGAGCATGCGCAGGCAGGCCTAATGCTTTTTAGACTTGATATTGACGTCGTGTGTTTGGCGTTCATACTTATCAACAGCGATTTAGGTAAGTACTTTTAATATTTAAATAATAATATTGTTTATATTGTGCGGTTTGTATTGATTTTGTCAAGCTGATTACATATTTTAATTCTCTGTTTTATGAAGACCGAACATCATGCAGTTGTTTGTTCGTGGCCAGACTTTGCACTCTGTTCATCTGAATGGCTCAGAGACTGTTGCCCATATCAAGGTTTTTTTTTTTCTTTTCTGATAGCCCACATTTTTATTTATCGTTAATTTAGAAAAACTTGAATGCGAAAAGGGAATTATTTCTTTATTATTGTCATTAACTACTTGTTTTTCAGGCTCAGATCGAAGCTTTGGAGGGTCTGGCCTGTGATGATCAGGTCATATCTCTCTGCGGGGTTCCTCTTGAGGATGAGACACTGATCTGTCAGTCTGGGATTGAGGAGTTCAACACTCTTGAGGTCTCATCGAGGCTGTTAGGAGGTAAAGATCAACTTTACTGCACTCTGCTTGTGACTATTTATCATGCCATTGTTGTACAAGATGGAATATCTGATGAATTACATTGTTTTAAACTTCTTTTGTGCTGAAAATAGAAGTATAAATATTCATTTTTGAGTAACTGGCTACATTATAATGCATTATCTTGGTTTGGACATTTTCATAAACATAACTTTTGGTTCCCAACTAAAGGCAAAGTCCACGGTTCCCTGGCTAGAGCAGGCAAAGTCAGAGGACAAACTCCCAAGGTGAGATACATGTCAACGATGTTCATATCACATAATATATATATTTTTTAAATAATCATTTTGGGCATGTACTGGTTTATTGATGTTGTGCACTGATATTGATCGTTTCAGGTGGACAAGCAAGAGAAGAAAAAGAAAAAGACCGGCAGGGCAAAGAGAAGAATTCAGTACAATCGGCGCTTTGTAAATGTCGTCCCAACGTTTGGCAAAAAGAAAGGGCCAAATGCCAACTCATAATTTGCTCTTCAAAATGACTGTCAATGTTCACTGCATTATTTGGCTGACCACTTGGACATTGCTGATGGGTGGAAAAATGTAATACAAAAGCCAGCTGATTCATGAAAACTAATTATTTTGGGCACTTTATGTGCTATAATGATGTGTAAAGTATGTCATTATTAGACACTGAATCACTTTGGTGAAAGAAAGATTTTGTAAGTTGCAAATAAAAACATTTAATGAAATATGATTGAATCATGTGTCATTACATTCTCACAGTTATTTGAATTTGATAACTCTGCCAGTGTGGCTTTGATGAATCATTCAAAAGTCCTTGTCAATATAGGAAGACCAAATGGAAAGTTATGCTATTCTGGTCTTCTTTCCCACTGGATCAAAGATCACCACGAGGCCCCAGGCAGCCAAACCTAAGGAAAGAGTAGATCAGTGTCAGTTCTGATTTCATGTCTCATAACACAGAGTGCACGAATGAGCTCACCTGCAGCAAACATCATCTGAACCACTGTGCCCATAGATGCGGGTCCACCTAGACGCATGACTTTCTGCGCTTGCATGCCCACATATCCCCCTGAAGCCAGCAGCCCCCCTCCAGAGAGGACTCGACAGCTCCAGCAGTCCCCCAACAGCGGTTTTCCAGTCGCCTGCGACGTGACCGGAATCGACTTCTCCGGTAGCGGTTGTGGATTGGACATGTTCAGGTTAAAGTGTCTTATCCAAGCGGATAAAAGTGTCAACGTTCCCTAGTACTGGTCTCTGTTGTTTTTAACAAGGGGTACTGCCTGTTTTCCAAATAATTTGGCAACATCATTAATGTCCATACAGAGAACTGTCCACCAACTCCATCGCTATAAGCGAATTGTGTGAGAAATATCAGTGTAACAATGACCTCAAACACCGGAAGCATTTAGCGGCAGTGTTGTTTTTGCACTCGTGCAAGTCATCGCTGTGCATGTTGCGCAGACGCGATTACAGAGCGGCAACACTCATCAAGCTTATTCAAGATCGGAATGTATACTTTATTAGAAAATTGCTAAATATTAGTAAAACACACAAAACACGTTTAAAGTTTTATTTGCGATACAATCGCCATAAATATGTATATAAATAGACAAACAATTTTAACTGTGAAGCAACAATGCTTTCAAACTTCTTATCCAAGGTTGTGGTCCATTTTGGACCAGCCACAAACCAGCTACTAGCAGGTAACGACAGCTTGTTTTTTTATTTTTTGGAACATGGTCCGAAACACAGCTACCATTTTAAGATTAATTTCCAGCAATGGAAACACGAGCAAAGCAAAACTGACAGAACATGCCATTCATGGCAATGTCCATCAAGTGATCAATATATGACATGGAGCATTTTCAGATCATTTATTTTTAAATATGTCACTGGCTTCATATTTCTCCTCCCCATGCATTTACAGATTGCTAGTGGCAAGTGAAAGTCTGATATCTGTGAAAACACATTCTATCATTTCTGCCCCCCGAATCCACGTGCAACATTATCATTCGTCTCAGCAGCATCCTTTAAAACTTGAAGCATGAGAGCATTTCTCTTTCTGGTCTCCTCCATTCGGACAGGGTTGGCCTCTGGCAGATTCTGAAAAAAAATAAATGAAGAGACGGATCAGGGGCATGTGGCATAAACTGCTTAGACTAGTCTTAAAAAGTTAGTCATCTAATTTATTTTCTTCAAGACTGGTCATAACTTTTTTTTAAAGTCAGTTACAAAAAGGTAGACTGGGTCTAATGTGAATCCAAAAAGTAAGACTGATTACCCACTGGCTAACTGCTAGTTGGTCAAACTAGTTTGTAATACACAAACTATGTTTATGCAACTGGCCCCAGAACACAACTCTGATCAGCTGTTATTTTTTATAACATTCCTCGGCGATGTGTGAGCCATTACGGAAAAAATAACATGTGTATTGTGATCCATGTCAACGGCATTCAATGCAACAGAACAATAACAATAACAATTAATGTAGTTCTCTCACTGCTATTAACCAAGAGGCGTAAAATTTGACCAGAGGGAGTAATCATCACAATCAGTGCGTATAAAACACGATCCCGATTAAATTAATTCGTTAATAATAGATCGTGTAAAACGTTCATTATAAAACTGAATTGTTGACAAACAATGACACGAGTCGTTCGTGCTTGTCATAGTCGTGAAAACAACGCCCCACGTTTATGCAAGTTAATCATAACAGGTTTATGTTTCTCATTTATAAAACTGCAATGTTTCAGTACCTTTAATATTTCCCTTTTCCTCTCCTCTCCAGGTGAAATTACGGCCCACATTCCGTAGCCCATAGCGACAAGCCCGACCACCCCGATCGAGGCCAGGAGGGTCCTCATTCTGCTCATGGTGTACACGAGCTCTCCGCGAGCACGTCCAACGCAATAATTATCCGCGTGGTATAAATGATCAGCTCCCCCAGGTCGCGGGAAAAGCTAGGTCAGTATACAACACACCGCACACTCTCACAGTTGACACGATGCAGTGGATTGTGGGAGTTCTATTATACAACTTTTTAACCGGTTACTGGCAGATTGGTCAGTATGATTAAGCAAACGGACAGGTGACATGTTCTTATAAGTGCTGCATATTAGCCTGTAGTCGCACTTTCTTCATAACAAAGGAGGTGCTTCACTTTAAGTAAATGTTGATATTCAGCCTTATAAGAGGTCAAACTTAATATAAGAGCTGTTTTAGTTTCCAATCTTTTTTTTTTCTTTTCTGTTAACACAACAGTGAAAATGTCTGTATAAATAAAACTTTGAAACGATGCGATATAAAGCGATATAAACTTCATTAACATCTAAATAAATAGACAACAAACGAATAAATAAATATTAAATAGAAAAACAATGTCAGAACGGTTAATAGCATTGCCATGTTTTTCTAAATTAAGTTACAAGTAGGGGATTTATTATTATGGGATGGTTTGCAGTTATTGATAATATATTCCCATAAATTAAATAAAGTTGTTTTGATCATTTAATTTTGTTTGATTTATGTATTCATTCATTCATTCATTCATTTTTTACAGAATGGAAAATGAATGAAACAAGAATGGAATGATAATGGTTTGGAAAGGATCCAAATAATGTTCCTTCTTGGGTTTCACACAAGTTGTTGCATTTTTTGTAATGGGTAAAGTCATCCACAACAGGATTGCTCACAAAATACTGAATGCAGCATAATATAACATGTCTGGTTAAAAGCACAATAATATATTTTTTATATGTATATAATATCAATTCAATATTATGTGAAAACAATCAGTTGTTAAATAAGGGGTTGTATGACATAAAAAAAATTAGTTCACCCAAAATTGAAAATGTCCTCCCCCTCAGGCCATCCAGCATGTAGATGAGTTTGTTTCTTCATTGGAACTGATTTGGAGAAATTTAGCATTACATCACATGCTCACCAATGGATCATGTGCAGTGAATGGGTGCCGTCAGAATAAGAGTCCAAACAGCTGATAAAAACATCACAATAATCCACAAGAAATGTAAGTAATCCGCAGGCTGTGCGTTTGTAATGAGCAAATCCAGTGAAAGTAGCTTCTCTGGTCCAGTTGCTTTCTCCAGTGAAAAAGTCATCTCATCTGAATTATGAGAGAAATATGCACAAATCAAGCGCCATTAACACGCAAAAACAGTCCTAAACAGTTCTAAACAAAATTGTTGGTGGATTTTGATGTGAGAGGGCAACAAGGGATGGATTATGGACCGGTATTTTGGCCAGAAGTGGCATTTTTAAGTTAAAAGATTTGTGATGATTACTTGTGGATTATTGTTATGTTTTAATCAGCTGTTTGGACTCTCATTCTGACGGCACCCATTCACTGCAGAGGATCCATTGGCGAGCAAGTGATGTAATGCTAAATTTCTCCAAATCTGTTCTGATGAAAAAACAAATTCATCTACATCATGGATGGCCTCCAAATTTTCAGCAAATTTTCATTATTGGATGAACAATTTCTTTAACTGTTGTATATAGTCAAGAAGGTCGAGAACTCTGACACAGGACAGGCAAAAATCTACATTTTATGCAGAGTGGATTCAGACATTTAGCTAGCTACTTTTCGTGCTAGGTTATCTGTATATTAGATAATAGTTATCTAATGGTTCTCACAAAAATGCATCTAATGCTTTAAAAAAGGGTCACTGACACCAAAATGTACACTATTTGTGGAATCTGCCACGATGAGGTAAAATGGGTCAGGTATTAAAGGCACAATATGTCATTTTTCGCCGCTAGAGGGCGCGTATTCAAAATAAACAAAGAGACAAAGGCGTAGTTTGATGACGCAGTGACTGAGTGTGGAATCATGGGAGTTGTCGTCTTCATCCCCACAGCCGATGCAATCCGACGGGACTCGGGCAGAAATCATGTTCATGGATGAGCTAATGATTTATTAACGTAGTAGAATGAAGCAGGGTGAGGCTGAAAGCCGTCGAAGCGAAACGAGGCCGCTGAACGAGCGTGACACACGGCTCGAAAGCAGCGGAGCTTTTATTATGCCACAGTCGACCGCTTCCGCTCCTTCCGGTCGTGCGTATGTGGGGAAAAAAAGCAGCACTGTTTTATCATACTAGATACATTTGAAAGTTCTGTTATAATGCTACTCTGTGCGGTCGTCACCGGTCTATTAAAACGCACAACATATTAAAGCGGCGTTGGTGTTTCCATGTTTTCGGAAATCGAGGGGTTGTGACGTCATTGACAGGCGACACAATGACACTATGGACACACTCCGTGTCACTAGTTAAAATTGCTTATTTCTCTGGATTTAAACATTCTTCGAAACATTTGGGATAATGTAAGTACACAAGTCAGCAAAATATATAACACTGTTCTAGTGGTTTTTGGATACTTTAATAAAAAAATCTTACATATTGTGCCTTTAATCATTGACTATATAACAGATCATTACTTCAACACCAATTATGAAAGCTGCTTTTTAAAATATTAGTCATTTTCAGGGTCAAATTAACGCATTCCAAAGCTGCACACTGACTAAATAAGCAAGACAGTAAAAAACACAACAGAACACAAAACAGCTGAAGTTAATTATACTGTCCACCAGATGGCTCTAACATACTTTCTGGTCTAAATGTAGCTTAAATAGTGTGTGTGTGTGTGACTCAGAGAAGGCTAGGTGGGTGTGCAGAAATCACATAAGTGCTGATATTGTGTGTCCATCAGTGTCAAGGTGGAAAATAGATAGCTGTAACGGAAGGTATACATTAGTGTCCCTTTAAGCGACATTTTCTCAGCCTGAGCACATGTAGAGCTTTGTTCATCCCTTATAAAACATTACCATGGCAACCCTAGTTTCTGCACAAACACCACAGTTGCTACAGCTAGAGTTACCTCAGTGCAACTAAAATAACCTGCTATTATCCATGACTGCCAGAAAGTAGACAAAGTCACACAATGATTCTAAAAGCCTCTTATAACGAAGAAGATGCCATATTCATTTATTATGGTTTTACAGCAAAAACACCCTGTATATCGTGTGGTATGAAAGTGATGCACAAAGTCAAACTGAAATGGATTGATCCAGTACATCAAAGCAGTCCTAAGGGATCCCCTTGAAGAAACTAATTTGCTGATAGGTTAAATTAATGATTATTCGCTCATGTAGGAAATTTAGTTTGGCATGTTTTAGTTTAGCTGGAAAGATTACTGCGATTTTTCTTTTCTTTTTTTTTATATAACTATTTATTAGGGGTATAATGGTACACAAATTGATGGTTCATTACGTACCTCGGTTTTTAAGTCACGGTTCGGTATGTTTTCAGTACAGCAGGAAGAACAACAAAATTTAAATGTTTTTTTTTTTTCTTTTTCTTTTTTAATGAAACCGTGATTAAACAAACTATGGCTCTGGTTTTAAATAAAAAATCTGGCATTAGCTGCAACCGGCTGCAAAAACATTTACAACAGCATGAATAGTAGTGTTGCAGTTTATGGTGCTTCCTCTTTGGGATGCAAAATATTTGAGCAAAAACTAGATTTTAGAATTAGAATTTAGAATTATGCTCACTTGTCGGAAAATAACTTTTTTTTTTCTAGATAAATTTCCTGATTTTACCCTCTCATCCCAGACACATTCAGAACCTTCAAGTAGATGTTGTGACCACACTACAGATTCCTTCACCCTTACAGTTCTGATTTCCAGACTGCTAAAGGTTTAAACTTCTGTGATGTTCTGAGGCAGAAAGCGAGATAATTTCTTCTGGCTGCGTTATTGCTTGAATATTTAATCGTTTCCTGCCTCTCGCACCCCCCACACCCCCTCCAAATCACTCAGTCTATAATGACACCTCTCACGCCAACCCCCTGGCTGCCTTTCCTCTCTGATTGCCACAGTAACGCTTGCAGATGCCTGCTCCTGTTGCCATGACACCCGTTTTTTCCCGAAGGTGCGCCACTGATCATTGAAGGAAATATTCATGTGCGTGTCTGTGTGTATGTAGACTGTGTGTAGTTTGCCTTCGATTTGCAGCGGTATATGCGTGATTATGGGTGTGCCTGTGCATTTTAAGAGGTAGTGCGCCCTGGTCTGCTCTATTCTATATATTTTTTTATTTACAAAGTGCTTTCATAATGTTCTCGACAGCGTTTAATACCCCTCAACACCTGTGTGGTCCTGTGTGATATTTCACAGCAGCGTGTCCAGTATGAATGCTAATCATGGCTCTGATGGCGTTGGGAACTAGAGCCCACTGACAGTCCTCAGCGGAATTTCAAACACTAATTCACACTTACAATTTGCGTATGTGTTGTTGTACATAAATAATCTGTGGGAAGGGGAAACGCGTGAGCGTGTGTGTGTTTGGATACCTGAATGTCTGCACTTCCCAAATGCAGAGAATGTCAGTTATAATCGCATTATTAGTAAAACAATGTAAAACAAGTGCATACGTGCATAAACTTCTGCTTTATGCAAAACTGACCTTTCCATCTTGAGCTTAAGCAGGAACATTGAGTGCTGTTTATAGTCTATTTATTCTGAGTAGCCTATACACCAAAACATAAATTAAAGCTAATGAATAAATTGCTTTTTTTTGTGTGTGTTTTTTTTTTTAGTAATTTGAGTTTTAGTAGGGTTCGGTAAAGAATGGCAAAAGGCTTTCTGGGATACTCGATTATGATTGGTCAATCACACGTTTGCTGTCAAAATAAAAATTTATTTATTTACTTTTTATTTTTTACATAATAATTGATTAATAGTTGTTTTTGTACTTACTAATGTGTTCATTAATCCAATTAATTTTAAAATAATGACTATTTATTGCTTAATTTATTAATTTGAAATCCTCCTTGGTGTACCTTAAGGACTTACTTGTAAATGTAAGCTTGCTTATTTTTGCCATTGCCAAAAAATAAAAAATAAGATAAATAAAATAAAATAAAGTATATAGTATGAACTATATAAAACATGCTAATAAATTGAAAGTGCTGCAGGTAAGCAAAGCAGTATGTTTCTGAAAGTAATTTTGCATGGTGGTGCTTTATTGAAAGCTAAACAGCTTATGGAATAATCAATTCTGATTGGTCAACCACAGGTCTGCCATTAAATCATTTTGCACAATGACCGCTAAATAAATGGTAATAAAAGGCAAATGGTAGTTCCATGTGTCTTGTATCACTATGCACTGTAATTTTAATTAATTATTGAAAAACTATTTTAATGTATTTATTCATTTAATGTACTTTTTTGTATTTTTAATACAATATGGTTTTCAAGGTCTTACATGTAATTTCCTATGATGCCATTTATTTTTGTAAAAAAAAAGTATCTCATGCGTTCTATATACACTGTGTGTGTTTGTGTGTGTGTGTGTGTGTGTGTGTGTGTGTGTGTGTGGATGGATGTATTATCACATAATGTATTCTACCTGTTCACTAAGTCCTATTTGTGCTGATAAAAGCAATCTCAGGTGACTTTTTGTCTAGTGTCCAAAGCATCTCTAAACTATCTTTATTCTCTCAACCCCATTATCATTCTAACTTTTAGTTCTCACCCACTGTTCTAATTTGAAGTTCTTTTTACCCTAACTTTAAACCTAATCTTAATTCTGATAAGGTTCACCCGTACTGAGATTTGCGCCGATGCATAATTCATGTCTCCCACTGTCCTTCTTAATGTTCTGTCAGTCATTTCATCATATTGTGGAAATGACTCTTCCAATTTTAGGGAGATGTTCTCATGCATTCAACAGCACCGACAGGCTTTCTAGACATCAGACCAAATTATGCCATTTGCTGTTGATTCATTATTGACAAAAGGCATCTTAAGTGGTATAAAGAATTAAATTGCTGATCCTACAACATTTCATTTCCTTCAGATGGAAAACCTTGGTGATTTGAAAAGCAGCTCTTCAAAAAGAGAACCATTTCTATACAAGTGTAGCTGTCTCAGTCTCTCTCTCTCTCTCTCTCTCTTTGTGTGTGTGTGTCTATATGTACCAGCAGCATGTCTGTGGCTCACTCATGTTTCAAACTTATCAATTGTAACCAGTTTCCATAGCAACATCTCTCAAGAGGTGAATAGAGAGTGAGAGAAAGAGCAGAAAGAGAAATAGACGTTGGCAATGGAGTGTGTGTGATTACATGCATGTTTCTGCATGCGTTGCACATTAACTACACTCTGCTGCTCTTTGATAAAATTTATGTTTAAAAAAACAGATTTTTTTTTGCTACAATTTTTATGTTATTTATTTATCTGTACTCTGTTCTATTTTCCTGCTCCATTTTCATACCAAATTGCTTTTCAAAGCTTTGGCAAATGTTTCAGCTGTGCGGCCATGCACAGAAAACCTATTTTGGACAGGCTTTTTGGTTTTGATTTTCAGCAAGCAAGAGAGAGAGAGAGAGAGAGAGAGAGAGACAACCTAACATAACCATGCATTTCATTCTTTTTTGAATAGAGAGTGAGAGAAAGAGCAGAAAGAGAAATAGACTTTGGCAATGGATTGTGTGTGATTACATGCATGTTTCTGCATGCGTTGCACATTAACTACACTCTGCTGCTCTTTGATAAAATTTATGTTTAAAAAAACAGATTTTTTTTTGCTACAATTTTTATGTTATTTATTTATCTGTACTCTGTTCTATTTTCCTGCTCCATTTTCATACCAAATTGCTTTTCAAAGCTTTGGCAAATGTTTCAGCTGTGCGGCCATGCACAGAAAACCTATTTTGGACAGGCTTTTTGGTTTTGATTTTCAGCAAGCAAGAGAGAGAGAGAGAGAGAGAGCGACAACCTAACATAACCATGCATTTCATTCTTTTTGTGTCTCCATGGCAACCAAACTGTGTTAGCCTCTTATTGACTCCAGTGCACTCACACTTTCTCTCTCTCCTTTTCATTATCAGTCTTTCACATTTACTTTTACTTGAGACTTGCAAGAATGTGCTCAAATTCTTTATAAACTTTCTCTTGGCCTTCATCATTTGCCTCAATCATTTTTATTCTTATCACAGTTTCATCCCTTTTCAATTTACTTATTTCTTTTTTGCCAGAATTCAATTACCACCTTTTGCAGACCAGCTTATTTTTAATAAAAAAATACCCTTTCTCATTTCAACATTTGTAAAGATTGCAACATGTTGTAGTTGATCAAGTTATACTAGCGCTCAAAAGTTTGGGGTTGGTAAGATTTTTAAATGTTTTTGAAAGCAGTCTCGTATGCTCACCAAGGCTGCATTTATTTGACAGTAATACTGTGAAATATTATAACAAATTAAAACAACCGTTATATATTTAAAAAATGTATTCCTTTTATGGCAAAGCTAAATTTTCAGCATCATTACTCCAATCTTCAGTGTCACATCATGATCCTTCAGAAATTTTTCTAATACGCTAATTTGCTGCTAAAAAAAACATTTCTTACTATTATCAATGTTGAAAATAGTTGTGCTGCCTAATATTTTTGTAAAAAATGGTCTTACATTTTTCGGTATTCTTTGATGAATAGAACAGCATCAAAATAGCAGCATTTCTTGAAATTATTATTATTATTTTTGTAAAACTTAAACTATAAAAGTCTTATGTCACTTTTGATCAATTTATTGCATCCTTGCTGAATAAAAGGTAAAAAAAAAAAAAAAAACTACAGACCCTTACATATATTTAAATGCAAATCAACAAACAAAGTTTTTTTGGCAACATTATTTTATTAGAACATGTGTAATTGCTTTTCGAGTATTTAAGATATTTGGTTGTATTCAACTGAATACAGACCACAAAGTTACCAAAGGTGCTGTAGCGTACATTAATGAATCATGTATAAAAGACATAATCATGCAGGTATTCTTAAATGTAGATACTGCATGTGAGCTAATATTAATCACAAAAAGACATTCAGTGATGACGTCTATAATGAAGACCCAGTCGGTTGTCTCTCGGCCCACATTCCTGTGCTAATAGTGATTGTCCAGGGTAGGCCTATGTATTCACATTTTTTAGGGTACATCAGGTCAAAGCCAAGATGGAAAGAAGACCCAGGAGTTCAAACCAGATAGGCTGTGTTGCTAAAAAAGCACTCAGATGTGTTGTTATTAAATTGCTCGCTTGTTGCACTGAAATTTTAAGTGTAATACAAAGCTGTTCTAGCTAGTGCACCAGCAGCTCAGGAGAGATATGCTCGGCCACTCTATTCATCTACAAAGCTAGAACTACACACAGCTTAGTTAAATAATCATTAATCTACTTGTTTAGCAGACTGATGGACACAGCACAACACAGGAACTCCAGGTGAGGCAAATTGAGAGGCACAGAACAGAGTGGCATTAAATGTTGTATATAGCCTTGACAACACAGAAGATTGCCTGAAAAGTTTGTATTTGATGTGAGACCGCCATTGTTGTCATGACAACATCATCAGTCTGTTGTCCAAAGCATCATCGGCGAACGTTTCCGACACCATCATCTGCATCACGGCCTGCTGTGTTCGGCTGTCTCTCGGACGTCAGCCCACTCAACGCAAATGAGTCTTCCTCTGTTGTTTGCTACAGTTCATCTGTTGGCATTCCAAAAATGCTTTTATGATTTGTCACAGTCTATCGAGTATTTGAACTCCGGCAGTGGTTGGGGTCAGATCTCTCTTCCCTCCGGTACGGCCCGTCCTGCATGCCCGTCTCAATTAAGAGTCTGCCGCTCTGCTTGACCGCTCATCCTCACCGCAGCCCATGATGGATGAACCCGGAACATGGGGTGTCAGTACTCAGATGTGATGCTGCTCAAACAGTTTCTCCGGTTTGTGATACTTATCTCATTGGTTGATTTGCTTTGAAATGTCTTTGTAAATGTCACCATCAAATTTGACGTAAAAATATACTTCTTGTGCGGTTGTTTAAGGACACTAATAGAACTACCCTGACCGAACTGCAACAACTGAGCCATGTATTCATAATTTAATCATTTATTATAGTGTACCTCTACATACAGGGTACATTTATCTACCACAAATACTGAAATAGCAAATACTTAGCAGTTATTAAATACTTTGACATAACAAGTTATCTGAAGAAAAAGACGTTGCAACAAAGTCCACGGTCTATTGATGTAAAATTCAAGGTAACATCCTGTAATGGCCTCAGTAGCACGTTATGTGTCTCTTCATAGACACTACGAACTATTCGTTGCAATGAGCAGCAGAAATTTTCAGCAGCCCTTGAGAAATTAAATGGTATTACAAAACATCTGCACTGCCTGAGCCTTTTGTTCACCATATTTCTCTCTGTCTATTGCACTCATTTTCTTTTGGTCCACCTCTCCACTTGTTATTTTTTTAATGGCAGTGATTGAGGCAGCTTTACATCGATGGCTTTAAATGCCTCCTTGAGCTTTTTCTACATCTGTCCATCATCCATCCCCACCCAGGAGATCTGAGGAGGAGCTGAACAAGGTTTGTGGATGAGGGAGAGGAGAGCGCGACATAGTTCGGTCTTTATTCTGCCGTTTTTCTCCTTTCTTTCGTAATCGTCTGTCCTTCATTTGATCACTTAGAAGCTGACCAAAGCATACACCATACTGCAAAAGAGACAGAGAGAGAGAAATTAATTAAGAGAGATATACTAAACAAACTTTCACCATCTACTTCAAATTAAGAAAGACATTCTAAGAAAAAGTCAGTGTTCAGTGTCACGTGATCCTTCAGAAATCATTCTAATATGCTGATTTTGTGGTCAAGAAACATTTCTATTATGTGCCGCTGAATTTTTTTGTTTCTTTCATTTCTTATTTTACGTTTCTTTTGTAGAAGTTTGAGAAGCCCATTGTTCCTCTCAGATAATGAAGTAGGTAATAGTAATGCCATCAATAAAATCCAAACATAAGATCATGTCTAAATGGGTAGATGATACATGAATGAGAAGGGTTTACCTGTACAGATAGTAGAAAAAGGACAGAAGGTAGAAGCCTAGCTTGCACCAGGACTCCTTTTGGCAGTAATTCAGAATGTCTGCATTCATCACACTCACTGGATCATACATAACCTCAGACCCATCTGCAGGACGGTGGAAAAACCTGAGGGAGAAAAAAAGAGAGAGGGGGAATTGCTATATAGACCCATTTTAAAATTTCAATGAAGTAGATGTGAGGGAAAGTTTGTACCTCCAGAGGTGATAGAGGAGCAGGGGGATGTTAAGGCTCAGAGTTACCCACTCTCCTGCACACATGAACATCAGACAGAACAGGCCGTGGATGGAATACTCTGGAACCACCAGCTGGGGGAAAAAACAGAGTTAGGGATAATTTCAAGTATTCGTCATGTTTGTAAGCATGAATTCAAATATTCGTCATAAGTATCTTTCGCCCATTCAATTCTGACTCTTAATGTGTGTGTGAAAAATGGAATACATGAGTGTGCCTCCAAGTACAGAGCAATAAAAAGAGGGGCGAGAAATGAAAAGAGGTAGAATGATAGCACTTTCAGGAAGACAGGATGTAGATAATTTTGTGGTTCTTTGGGAGATACAGAATGTTTTAACACCAGGGTTTTCAATCAGGGGTCCGGTGACCAATATTCTGGGGTTTATGGGAAGGTATTTAAAACTGCATTGTCATGACATTTCTAGCTATTAAAGTATGGATGCATGACACACTAAGTTTGGGGTCACCAAGATGTTTTTTTTAAAGGGGTCATATGATGTTGCTAAAAAGAACATTATTTTGTGTATTTGGTCACTTATTATTGTTTCTCCTCTATGCCTGGCCTTTCTGAAACGCGTCGATTTTTACAAAGCTCATCTGTCTGAAAAGCAAGGTGTGCTCTGATTGGCCAGCTATCCAGAGCATTGTGATTGGCCGAATACCTCAAGCGTGTGACGGAAATGTTAAGCCCCTTACGATACCACCAGGCATGACGAAGCGGATATCATCCTCTTTTGGAAGGCCAACCAAAATAGTTTCGCTTTCACAACGAAACACAGCGTCTTTACGACATGGCAGCGGCGACAACAACAATACTACAGCGAGAATAAAAGTTACGCCTTCTTTCTTTGCGTGAACATTTGGGCGGCGTTATGCAAATCTTCCCACATCGTGACATAGACATGTGGGGGCGTGTTAGAACGAGCCGTTTTAGGTAGGCGTGGTTGACTCTTAACTTTTATAAAGAATATCTCTTTGGATTTGAGACTTTAGTCTTTGTAACTTTACAGATCTTCTTTATGCACCAAGAGCATGTAACACTCCAAAGAGAAAGGAAAAATTGAAATCGCATCATATGACCCCTTTAAAGAAGTCTCTTGCTCTCATCAAGGCTTCTATCTTGTTTTTCAGTGTCACATGATCCTTCAGAAATCATTCTAACATGCTGATTTGCTGCTCAAGAAACATTATTTTTGTGGAAACCGTGATACATTTTTTCTAGGATTCTAGAAAGCTGATCAACTGAATGCATCCTTGCCGAATAAAAGTACTAATTTCTTTCAAAAAATGAAAAATATTTCCACTGACCCCAAGCATTTGAATGATAGTGTACATCAGCGCTTTATTAATTATCAGCTGATATTAGACATTTTATAATGTATTTGAATATTCATTTTTTATACTGTGTACTATAATGTTGTGATGCGTAAATGCACCGGCAGCATTTAAAAAAGTTAATTTTAATTTAATTTTATTTATTTTAAATTTTTTGCCAAATAAGGGTATCAGCAATTGTATCACAACTGTACAATCAATGCATCTCTACTAGCTGTTTTAAGGGCTTCTCTTGCATGTCCTCCCCACTTTATATATGCTTACACTCGACTTGATCTGCCACAATTTCACTCACCCTTCGGAGGAGGTTGCAGATTCTTTCGATGTTCAATATTCTTTCCCTCTGAGGAAAAGCAGAAGAAGGCAATCAAATTTTTAATGGATGCATGTTTCTGCGTGTGTGTTCACATATGTGCATGTATGCCGTCTCAATGTCTCTGAAACCTGCTGTTCACAGTTGGGAGAGTGATGCCGAGTAGTTTGTGCTGTGTGAAAGGAATCGTGATCTAAGAAAAGCCTTACCGCTCTGGTGGGGTTGCTCTGATCGATGGGATTTTTGAAGTCTGTGCGCAGCTCATCAAAAGCAATAATCTTGAGAAGAGACAAACAGAATTCGTGTTTCATGAGCATTTAAACAAAACCACTGGAGATTTTGGAGGTTAGAGACGATGTAGGATGATTGTGCCATCTGTGGCCTTTTTATCTTTAACTTTTCACATTCTCTAGCCATTCCTACAGCTTCAAGCTATGTTCTCCCCTCCTTCCTTTTCCCCTTATAGATCCATATCTCCTGCCATCCCCTCACTTCGTCCTCTGTAAACAGATGCAGTTGCCATGGTGATCGAATGAGCCCCTAAGCAGGCATCATGGTTGCTATAGAAGTGAGTTCACATTCTTATTGGCTGAGAGCCATACAAAGATAGGGGGAGAAGGAGAGGAAAGGGGGATGGGGTGTCAGAACCAAATTACGGTTTGATAAGCATTCTCAATAACATGGTTTCTCGCCGGCATGCTCTCATACGCAGACTCTCAGCCTCCCCCACTCTCTGTCTCCATACTCTCTCCATCTCTCATACATTTACACACACACTCAAACCAAATGACTCATGTTTAGAATCTCTCCCACTCCTGGCATTAGTCAATGCTCAGTCATTTCAAGTCTGTTTCTTAATGGCCTTTTGAACGTCTTACAAGTAAGGTCTGCAGTCTAATGCCGATCTGAAAATATCCCTGACTTCTGGTTTGGCATTCAGGGCTTGTGTTTTAGGTGTTGAAACCTCTGCTCTCTAGTGTTTTAGTGTTTCAGACAGATTTTAACAGTTCAGGGCCATTGTGTTTGTCTGCTGTTACCTTTTGCGAGAATGCCGCCTCTAATATGAAGAATACAGATGACGTAGTCCCTGGCGGCGACTGTGCAAATTTCATTTGTGATTCTACAGACAGTGGGCTGGCACAGAACAACCAGTAGAGTTCAAATGAGCTGTTGACCTCTTCCTCTTCAGCGGTCTCTCTCTCTGTGTTTGTGTGCATTGGTGAATCTCACTAAAACATATCTAAGTCACATTACACCTCAAAATGAAAAGAAGAAAAAGAAGAAATTATATATTTTTTTAATTAAAATGAATTAATATTTTTGAACCCACAACCAGAGGATAAGCAATTTGGAGAGTAGATGGATGGATAATATTTTTGAAATATACATTATTTTTGAATTATATATATTAATATTATTGTAACATAATTTTCATGACATTTTCCCCTTGAATTTTCCTTGCCGTAAAGCATCTAGACATTCGTTTTTGTGTTTTTTAAATTCCTATTATTTTCAATGGTGATTTTCATTATATTGTCATTACTGAAATAGTTTTTTTTTACTCAATTACTGTAATAGAACTTTTTGTAAAATTAAAACTTCCAAAGTTAAAGGCAATACAACAAATACTACCATGATGTACAATGACGTATAAATAAATTTTTAAAGCACATATTTTTGTATATATATTATATATAAATTATTATATATATTTATACAGTATGGAGAATTAATGTGCTTAATTGCTAAATGAAACTAAATATGTGATTTAAAAGTAATGTGCTTAATATCTCAAATAATGGTCCTAAAAATATCCTTCATTTTCAAAGTAAAATATAATTTCTTAATTTTTTTTCCAGGTGTAATCATTCTTAAGGTTTTGTGAGATTCACATTTACATTATTGACTGTATGTATGTGTGCGTTTGTGTGCAGACTGTGCACATACACACAGGTAGGCTCCCACCTCTTTCCTCCGTTTTTTCTTCTGTATCCATCTACTTGTTCTGTAAATCATCAATCATCCATGACTCAGAATGTCTGCTCTATTAATAACTGCCGCGATTTGTATTCACCTCAAGGATAAGGCCTCTTGTTAAGGGCAGGGGAGACAGCTTGGACAGACACACACCAGTCTCTGCGCTCAAAAAACTGGCACGAACACACACACGCATACACACACACATTCACACTCACGCAGTCAGACACTTGGCAATGACATGGATTCCAATGCCAATTGAAATGGAAGTGTGACAGTGTTACAGGTAACAGGAACTCGTACAAATTCACATTCACTCAGTAAGGTCTAAAACTACAGACGTACCTGCCAGATGACGAAGAAGATGAGGGCAGCGCACAACACGAGTGTTAACATGTAGCAAAAGGCCGCAAAGGTGAAGGCCATGGCTGTGCCAGCCAGCCTGACGGTGATCTGGGTCGAGAGAGGGCGAGGGGGAGTTTTCCCCTGCTCTCTCTCTCTGTCTGTCTTTACACTCTCACCACCTTCAAGGAAGTTACAAAGCACTTCCCTCTTCTTCTGTCTCTCCTCTTAAAGCTTGCGGTCCAGCTTAGGATGAAGTTGGGATAGAATTAGAGAGGAATCCTCTTGGTCTGGAGCTGCAGATATGAGGCGTCTGGCTGGTTATCCGCCTCCGCTGGCTGGAGCGTCTTGTAACGTGTGGCTGGACAGTGTGTATTTGTGTGTAATTCTTCCTCTCTGTCCACCCAAGATAACTGCTAGAGCTGTTTCCTCTTTTCAGTCTCTCTGCCGTCTCCCCTGTTCCTTCACTTGCTCTCCTTCTCCCTCTCTGTCTTTCTCTCTGATTGGCAGAAGGGGGTTTGTATGTATGTGGAGAATCGCTCCCCTCCCCCGGCTCTAAGATTAGTGCTGCACACTGGGTCCACACACCTTATTTACAGCAGAACACCTTAAAAAATATCTTGTGGGCACATCAGAGGATGAATGTCCTTGGTATACATTCTGAAAAACAGACATTGATTCGAGTTACACTCTTAAAAATAAAGCTTCCAAATGGGAGTTTTTGCAGTGATGCCATAGCAGAACCATTTTTGGTTCCCCAACGAACCTTTCAGTGAACAGTTCTTAAAAGAACCATTTTTTTAAAGTGTGAAGAATATTTTGATAATCTTTATTATAAAAAGCCTTTGTGCAATGGAAAAGTTCATAGATGTTAAAGGTTCTGCATGAAACCATCGATGCCAATGAAGAAACTTTATATTTAAGAGTGTCTAAAGTAATGGATGAATGTGTTTGGCCCTAACTCGATGAATGATTGTTGAACAGTAATTACAATTAGACACATTTTAACTGCCATAGTGTTGTCATTTTAAACAATAACTGGGCACATTTGTAGATCTAATCGACAGGTCTTGATCTATATCCTCTCTTAGAATGAAAAATAATTGATCAGTTTTAAGTGCTGATAATTTGGTATTATGGATAATAACATGAACACATTAATGACAATGTAATCTTAATAAAAATTTAAAATGACTCCTTTAGATGGAATTTGTGGCTTCAAAATGAGTCATTGAGACTGTAAGTGTAAACAAAAAAAAATTATTTTTACAAAAAAAATCTTTGTTTGAGTAGCTTGCTTAGTACGGATTTGTAGCAAAAAAATATATATTTTTTTACGATTATATATTGAACTTATTATCCAAAGAAATCTATACAAGGCTTTGCAGACGTGCATTTCCAAGACACTATTGCATTTATTTAAAAATTTTACTGGTGGCTTTGGCTAATGCAAAAAAAAAAAGTAAAATGTGCCAATTTTTGCATTTGCAGCTGTGCATGAATCCATAACAACACTGTAATGGTGTTCAATCCTTCTAAACAGTGAAAACATGAATAAACAAAGACGTTCAAAATGACCGTGAAGAATGGTTAAATAAGTTAGCTGTGGTACATGACAGAATGAAAGAACAAGAGCATTTACCTGTGTTTTCTGAAGCAGCGGCGCAAGTCTGTCTATGTCTGTCCTCTCTCCCTTCAGTTTCCTCTCATCAATCTGGGTCGACACCATGTCAGAAATCTCTGGTCTGCTTTGCTCTGGGTGTCAGTGTCGGTCCCATCACAGCCTCTCATTGGCTGCTGGGTGCTCTGCGACCAGGTATGAAACAGCAGAAAGAAGCAAAACATGCATGAATGTGCTGGCCATATTTTTCTGTTTTATCTCATGCTTTTGATCCCGCGCAGCTTTCTGAAGTCTGACACTTAATTAACTTAGCGTTCTTCTCTTTTCCCCCCTCCATTTGCCTTACCCATTTATCCTCCGCTTTCTCTCGCTCTCATTCCTTCTCTGCCATTCTCAGTTTTTTACGAATTCAAGCATTCCCTGCTGGTATTTGATCTCAAAAACAGAACCAATGGAAAAGCCCTTCTCTCTCATCCACATCTCATTGATTAGAATTAAAATGTGATGTTATATTACCTCTGATCGCAGTGCTCAACTACATTCAACAGTCTTCCCTTCCTCCGTCCCTCTATTTTCTGCCCTACTCTCTCATTCCCTGGAGAGATATGAGGGGGCAGAGGAAGCTTTTCTTCTTTGGCTTCCCTTGTTTGTCTCTCACTCTCTCTCTCTGTCCCTCCCTCTTTTATTTTCTTACTGTCTCTCTCTCATACAATGTTACCTTCTTGATGAAAGTGCGTCTCTGTCACTGCAGGAGAGATGAAGTAAGGTTTGATTCTATCTTTTTCTTTTTAGTCAAATCTGCAGTCATGTCTTCAAAGATCATGAGTAGAAGAGAGTTATTTTTTTCATTCACAATCTGTTTTTTTCATTTTTTTCACTCTAAAAATTTTGTGAAATTCCATGGTTTTATGATAAATAAAACCATGAAATAATAAATAAAAAGTAATAATAGGTTAAAAAGATAAAAACTTGTTAGTGTACAAATATCTCCAGTAAGACAAAAATGTAGTATTTAGAGTTTAACATAAATTATGCTTATTCACATTTCAAAAAATTTTTTTTAAATTCCATGATATGTTCCATTATATTATTTTTATAATTATTATATTGTATTCATAATATTATTCATTATAATAATTGTTATAATAGGCTATATTAGCTAACACCATTTGACAGTGTTCTTGTTACATATTACATGTACTTACAATAATAATAACAGTAAAGTATGCTTAATTACAAGAAACTAACCTAATTATTCTTCTTCTACTTATTATTTCCAGTTTTTCCATAACTGTAGAAAACCTGCATATAAAAAAGGTTCATACTACTGTATAATATCACAACTTTGAATATGTCTGGGTTTCCTGCCACCTCATTTAGATATAGTGTCAAATCCATTTGCAATGAATACTCCGTGGGGAACTTCTTTTCTTCTCTCATTAGCTATGTTTTCAAATCATCCCCACAATGTCTCCATCTTTGTTTATAGTGTTCTTTAAGGCGTGGGAAATATTGAAACTTGATTGACATGCTCCCCAGGGAGAAGAGACTGAATCATTCCAACATTAAGGTTTCTAATTTGCTTTTATTGCTTACATTACTGCAGCAATATAGGCAGCATTCTCTGTTTTTCAGAAAGACTGACAAATATCCTAAAGCACATACAACACCTTTGACAGATTTTTCCAGTATGCTATGTGGGTGCTCTTCTAATGGAGTCCAAGAGTACCATCTGGTGGATTCTTTCATACTCTGAAAGCCTCCTCTCTTTACTGTCCTTCATGAAATGCTATTTTAGGGCAGCCGCAACTGATTTCGGTTACTTAAGTGCTGATATGTGTTTTAGATTAAAAAAAAAAAATTATATTCAATCTGTTACAAAATAAATAAAGGAGTGTCTGCGGAAACTTTTTGAAAACAATCATTATTTTGCAGTTCCATTTGGTGCAGCTAGTGTTGCTAATTCCTTATAGCTGTGGTTTTTAACCAGAGGGCCCAGCACACTTCCAAGGAGATGGCTAAAAATTATTAAAATAAAACAAAACAAGGTTTAAAATAAGCTAATCCAGATATAAGCTGAAATCATTCTTATTTTAATTTGTTCCCTTAACGACTGACATTTTTACTTAAGAACCAGGGTTCACATGATTTCGGATGACTTTTAAAAGCGTTATTTCTAGATTTAGAAAAGTCATATAAATGGGGGGGAAAAAACGAAATATATTTTATTATGAATATACATATAACATTTATTGGGTAGAAATTGCTATTAGTTAAAAAAAAAAAAAAAAGTAAACCCATATAATTACAAAGTAGAAATGTCATGTAAATTAAGTGGTAATAAAAAGTGTTCAAAACATATAAAAAAGAATATTCAGTTATTGGGATGATGGAATTTAATTATTCATAATGATTTTATTTTAATTATTTTACTATATAGTCACACCTATCTGTAAATTAGCAGCCATGTCTTTATAGCAGAATTAACTGAAATAAAGGGAGACTTCACAAAAAATAAAACACAAATTAATTAATTAATTTAAAAAAGAAGCTACTCGCCTTCATGTTGTTATAAAACCTGTCTGGCTTACTTTCTTCCATGGAAGACATCCCTAACATTCTGCCTAGTGCCTAGAAAGTCCCTTTCTTTGCTAATATCTAATATCTTTTGTGTTTAAGTGAAAAAAGTGAAAATTATAGGATAAACACTACATATCGAGATAGTTTATAATACTTTCATCCAACTGTAGTAAATATAATCGCATGACAACATGCTGAAACTCGCACTGATGTTTAGCGTCAGTAAACCCAGTCTTAGTGGGGAACGGAACCAAAAGTCCTTAGGTTGCGCGTTACACCCGGACGTAGTTGTGTGCGACAGTAACGTGGAGATCTGTTTTTATTAAGTCAGTAACTCCAAAATCTCTCGTTTTCTTTCAAATGGCTGCTAAAAGCCAAATATGCTCAATATGGCTTGGATCCGAGACTGGAATATTAAAAGGTAAAGGGATTTCCGTCTCTTTGTCGACATATTGTACTTTTTATGAATGGATAGCTAGCCATGTATGGTACACGTGAGTTGGCACCACATATCTGCCATTTAATTTTCTTGTGGGCCACTGAACTAATGATTTGTTATTGTCCATATTTCATCTCAAGGGGTAAGTTTAACCAAAAAGCAGGCGTTTAACTTTTGTGAGATGAGCTGCATGAGTCGTGATCAGGAGGTTTGTGTGATGGCATGGGGAGACCCTCACGAATCAGAGGTGAGAAAGAGAGAGAACTGGAGTAGCAGACTTCATCACCATGATTTAGTGACTGACAGACGCTGTCTATGTGTGTATGTCTTTGCAGGTGTTAGTGGGCAGTGTGAACGGCACTGTGAAAACTTTCAGCACAGATAAGGGAATCTTCACAGCGACCAGAGAGTGTGGAGATCCTTCACAGGGCAGATTCACAGGACTGGCTGTCACTGACAGGTGGTTTCCAATATCATGTTATGCTCGTCTCTGCAGGGGCTGATGAATTACTGGATGTTTTGTTGGTTTGCTTTGATGTACTGTAGGAATGAAGTACTTTCTTTCCTTCTTTTCCAGTTCTATGATTACATGTGTGGAGTCAGGACTGCTGAAGGTGTGGAAGGAAGGAAGTACAGAAACCGTAAGTCAGTGTGGTGTGCTATATTTGATTTTAAGATTTTTTAAATTCCAATTTCTTTTATAATTGTTATACCTGCACTTGTAGGGTCTTATATTAATGAAAGAAATGCTACTTGAATGTTTGTACTTTTCAAAATGTATCTGTCACTGCAGTTTAAAAAAAAGACTATTTACTAAACATAAAATGTTAAAAATGCTGAAAAAATTAAAACTAACATTAATCTCTCTGCATCTAGAAATTAATCCCTGCAGATTCAGGGTGAATTTCAGGATCAAAAAGTAAAAAAAAAAAATAATAATAATACAACATTAGTATTGTGTAGTGTGTGTATATATAGACAATTATATTCATCACTTGATTTGTTTGCTTGTTACTGTGATAAAGTAGATAGAGTAGACATTAGGTTGCCTTTCAGTACAGTACATTAAAAGGGATTTTGTCCCCATAATATAAACCCACAAACAGCTCAATATCACATAAAAGCAAAATTATATAACATTTTAACTGTCATTTATCACTGCATTTTAATTATGATGATCTTCAGAAATGAACCAGTCAAAAGCGGTTTCTGTATATTTTTTTGTATGTAGTGCCTCCGTATATTTTTGCATGTATATTTGTTCATTTTTATTTACTTATTGTTGGTCAGATGAGGGGTCTGACTGTTTAAAAGAAATGGGAGGAGATGTTTTATTGTGCTGTCTCTTCAACTAAAAACACATAAAGTGACCCAACACTGAATATTTTACTTGTTGTTCCTTATATAGCTAGTAGCATAGTAGTAGCACTGCTTCTACTATTTGAATTGTAGATTAGGATTGAATAATGTATGATGATCTCTTCATCTTTATGATAATTTTTTTTGTCTCTTAAGATAAATGTGGACTTACAGTAAATCTCAAACAACCTCATCTGTCTCTGTTCTTAGGCTGAGGTAAATGCTGGAAATGGAATATGCAGAATGCAACAGAACCAATCACAGCGCCATCGTGTGGCTACAGGGGGTAAAGAGAACCCGCTGAAAGTCTGGGATCTGGAGAGACCAGATAAGCCAATATTCACAGCCAAAAATGTAAGGCATAAGAAAAAAAAAACTCTAACCTTTTCAACCCCACTAGTTTATTATTTTTGTGTTTCAAGCTCTTCCTTTTTTTTCTTTGATCCATCAGGTAGCTCATGACTGGTTGGATATGCGAGTGCCCGTGTGGGTGAGAGACATTGGCTTTATCCCAGATTCAGATAAAATAGTCACATGCACTGGACACCATCAGGTTTGTCTTTACTCTGGCTTTATCCATGTGTGCTTGTCTACTGTAGTTTCCTACACTTTATCTACACTGGACACATTTATTCCATCTGGAAAAAAATGTTTTTTTTTTTAAATATCATATATCTGATTTTTTTTGTTTACAGTGAATACCTGAGTTTATGTACACTATCATTCAAAAGTTTGTTGTCAGTAAGATTTTTTTTTTTTTTTTTCTTGAAATTCTCTTATGCTCACCAACTGAATTCAACTGAATTCTGGGTGTTCTGGCTTAGATTTAATAGTTACGAAAGATTCTGAAATATATTGTGAGCTGATCATCTTTTTCAGCTTGTCCCTAACCCTTTGCTATTTTATTTATTCATGTCTTCCTTTGTGTTTTAAGGTAAACATCTGTGATCAAACATGACTCAAAATATCTTGCCCTCTCTGTTCTGCTCCTCCTCCGTCAGGTGCGTGTGTATGACCCCTTGACGCCTCAGAGAAGGCCAGTGTTGGAGGCTCGGTTTGGAGAGTACCCGCTCAC